TCTTTCCCTGCAGGGGGTACCTTGCTGTGGCAGTGTGGCAGAGTGGCCTCAGTGCCCGAGGGGGCTGCCCGTGTTGCCCACGCCCTGGACGACGGCTCAGCACTGCGGACTTTCCAAGCCATGCTGCAGGCCCAAGGAGTGGAGGCTGCCACGGCCCGGGCCCTGTGCGTGGGCTCGGAGGACGAACGCTTCCAGATGCTGGGCCGGGCCAGGACCCAGGAGGAACTGCTGGCTCCGAAGGACGGTAAGGAGGACGACGAGGGAGGCAGGTTTTGGAAGCAGACCTGGGGAGAAGAGGGGCGCAAGTCCGTGCTGCCTCAGGAGTGTCGGGTTTTCTGGGAGAGCGTGGCAGGAGTGTCATGCCAGACAGTCCACCCTCCAAAGCCGCCCTTTTCTCCTGAGAATCTGATCTCTGTAGTCTGGAGATTGTCATTCTGGGAGATCTCCAGACCCCACCTGGAGGATGGCAACCCGGTCCCTTAGCAAAGTCTGACCAATCTCTAAGCAGTCGAGAAGGGGCGTTACATACTGACAGGGCTCTTTTTGTTGAAAAAGCCCAGCAGGAACTCATTAGCATGATAGGCCACACCCAACAGCAGGAACTCATTAGCCTATTGGGCCACACCCGACAGCACAGCATATTAACATATTAGGCCACACCCCCGTGTTGCCAGAAGTGTGGTCATCCGGCCACACCCACCTTTTGCTTCTTATTCTTTTTACCTTGTCTGTTGTCAAAAACCAGGGCTTTTTTTGGAGCAGGAACTCCTTTGCATGTTAGGCCACACACCCCTAATGTAGCCAATCCTAATGAGTTTCTGCTGTTGGGTGTGGCCTATTATGCTAATGAGTTCCTGCTGGGCGTGGGCAACTTGGGAGCCAGCTGGAACTCCGTTCCTGTGTGTTCCTGCCCAAAAATAGCCCTGCATACTGAGATCGAGGCAGCGTTTGAACAAGTGGTCTCTTTATTCAGCTCAGAACACGCAACAACAACACTCAAAGAACGATCCAACTTTATACATTTTGTGTCTGTTGTGGGGAGGGGAAGGGGAAGGAGATTGTGAGCCGCTCTGAGACTCCCTTGGGTAGCGAAGGGTGGGGTATAAACCCAATCTCTCTCCCTCTCCCTCCTCTTCCTCCTTCTTCTTTACAGTGGCTTTCAGATTTAATATACTACACACAGTGTTCCCTCTAAGCTGAGTTAGTGTGAGCTAGCTCACCGTTTTGTAGCCTCCGGCTCACACATTCTTGTCTTCGCTCAGGAAGGAGGGCTCCAGAGCAAACTCATTTGTGCAGCAGCCAAATTGCTCGCTCACAACTTTAATGCCAGTAGCTCACAGGGTAGAATTTTTGCTCACAAGACTCCACAGAGGGAGCACTGACTACACACACTATATAGCCATTTTTTGTTATACCACCTGGTGATTGGCACGGGGGGAGGGGTATGTTGAGCCGGGGGCACCCGGCTTAGGCCCTACCAAAAGTTGGAGCAAGCGCCTGCCAACCTAGCAGTTCGAAAGCAAGAAATTGCAAGTAGATAAATAGGTACCACTTCGGTGGGAAGGTAACAGCGTTCCGTGCGCCTTGGTGTTTAGTCATGTCGGCCGCATGACCACGGAAACGTCTCCGGACAGCGCTGGCTCTTCGACTTTGAAACGGAGATGAGCACCGCAACCCTAGAGTCGGATTCGACTGGCTTTTGAGCAAGGGAACCTTTACCTTTACCCCTATATAGAATCCAAAATCAAATCCCTGGTTATCACCTTAGATTCCTTACTCCTTACTTCCGAATCTGAGGCTTTTTCGATTATAAGAGCCAATCTACTTTGTTCTGAGCTACATTCACTGTACAATGCCGCTAATAAAACCTGTTCACCTCTGTATTTTGGAATATCTCCTAAAGTCGGCCAAGCTGCCTCTTACCTGTACCAACTTCACACCCCCAAACTCCGTAGGTTTTGGCGAGAAACTCTTTGGCGAGATTCAATGAATTGCCTTCGGCCTTATTATCTGGCCGCTTTCAGGGTGTGCCCTTTTCTGACAGATGTTGCCCATGCACAAATGATAATATCGAGACCATTTCCCATGTCTTGTTTCAGTGCCCCTTCTACCATGTGCTACGACTGAAATGTCTAAATTTTACTTTGGCTCAACTAGAAGAATATCCTGATTGCCTAAAGATCCTTATTCTTCTTGATAATCCAAACTCTGAGATAACAGAAACTGTTGATAAATTCCTTTTTGGTGCCATTAATTGATGGGTATACTAGGAGCTGTGGTGGCTCAAGTGGTTAAGACGCTGAACTGCAGTCTGTGGAAGGTCGGTAGTTCAGCAGTTCGAGACCCGAGTGTGCCGCATGACGGAGTGAGCTCCCGTCTCTAGTTCCAGCTCCTGCCAACCTAGCCATTTGAAAGCAAGAAATTGCAAGTAGATAAATAGGTACCACTTCAGTGGGAAGGTCACAGCGTTCCGTGCGCCTTGGTGTTTAGTCATGCCGGCCACATGACCACGGAAATGTCTTCGGACAGCGCTGGCTCTCCGGCTTTGAAACAGAGATGAGCACCACAACCCTAGAGTCGGATTCGACTGGCTTTCGAGCAAGGGAACCTTTACCTTTACGTTTATACTTACTTGGTAATTCCTTGTTTCTGTAATTTGCAGATATTATTCTATGCTGTGGTTGTTGTTATTTTTTTTTTGCTGCATATGGGTTTGCAAGGGTTACATGCCAATAAAGATAACTGGACTGGAAGTGGTATCTTTTAAGTACGGCTCCGAAGCGCGGCAAAACGGGACGCCCACGGAACAGGGACGTTTCCCAGATGTTTGTGTCTGGACATTACCTTTAAATCCGCCAGGCACTTGTGTCTGGTGCGGATCTAAAGAGCCGTCTGAACGGACCCTAGGACACAACCACCAAGAGCAAGTCCTACTTCCAACTCCCCCCGTGATATTTTGTTAACTCGTATTCCTGCCTTCTTTCCCCAGGAACCGTCCAGCAGATCCTAGCCCTGCCAGTAGCTCAGGTGCTCCACCGTCTGGGAGCCGGGCGCACCCGGGAGGGGCAAGCCATCAACCACCACGTGGGGGCTGAGGTACTCACCTCTGTGGGGCAGCCCCTGAGGAAAGGTAACAACTCGAGGGGCCTGCAATTCACTCTGTGCTAAGCAGGAAATCCTGCGTGTTCTGGAAAGAGCTGGGAAAACTGGTGCTATGGATAGAGTTGCCAGTCTCCTGGCGAGGGCTGGAGAGCTCCTGGGACTACAATGTTCCCTCTAAGCTGTGGAGTCCTGTGAGCAAAGATTGTACTTTGTGAGCTACTGGCATGAAGGTTTTAAGCCAGAGATTGGGCTACTACATAAATTAGTTTGCTCTGGAGCTACATCCTTCCTGAGCTAAGACAAAATGGGTGAGCTGGAGGCTAAAAAACTGTGAGCTAGCTCACATTCACTCAGCTTAGAGGGAACACTGACTACGACTGATCTCCATGGCAACAGAGATCAATCCCCCTGGAGAAAATGGCTGCTTTGGAAGGTCGGCTCTGTGGCCGTAGAACCCGCCGAAGTCCCTCCCCTCTCCAAACCCCGCCCTCTTCGGTCTCCACCCCCCAAATCTCCGGGAATTTCCCAACCCGGAGCTGGCAACCCTACTGTCAGTGAGAAACAAATGTATCTCCCGGGGAGTTCTAAAGTTTTGGAGCCACGACCGAGAAGGCCCTGTCTCAATTTGCCGCCCATCTGGCTTCCAGTGGTGGAGGCACAGAAACCAAGCCTCCAAAGATGACCGGGATGTAGGAGCAGAAAGCACCGGGGCTTGGAGAAAGAGAAATATCACCATGGGCTAATAGTCAGATCTGCACGCCCCCCCCCCCCACAAACCACCAA